GATTGAACCCCTGGCTGCCATCACCCACATCACTCTGGGGACAAAACTGCTCTGTGGAAAGGCAGCAGGCTCTGGGCTGCACTCAGGTGTTCAGCAGCAGGATGGCAGAAAACCATCCAGCCAGCCTGGGAGCTTGTTCTGCCCTCTCCAGTAATTCCTCTCAAGTAAATTTTGCTGCAGTCCTGAACTCCACTAACTGGGTTCAGGATTGCAGCAAGATTCAGGACATTCCAGATAAACTCCGCCTTCAAGCCAGGCTGACAGCCGTGTGGTGGGAAGATTTTAAGGCAGCCTCTGGGCCAGGTAGGGAACAGTTGTGCTCACCTGTCCCCTCACAGGCTGAGGGATTCGGTGGGAGGAAGAAAGAGGAGGGTGATGTCTAACTCTGAATGAACAGGTGCGCAGTCAGAGCCTGGGGCCCAGGAGGCTCCTGCCCACCCTGCAGGAGAGCAGGGGAGATGCTGTGGGTGACACCATTTATCTTTGGGTGTCTCCATTTTCTGTGCTCCAGCAGGGCTCAGTCTGTTGGATACAGGGTGTTCTTTCTGCCTGCTCTCACCTGAAAGCAGAGAGTGGTCCAGGAGCAGCCTTGGGCTTCTGCATGGGGTCAGCACTGCCCCTGGCTCTGGGCAGCAGAGATCCCAGTCTGCAGGCAGGGGGGAGCAGGAGCAACAGGGGAAATCCCTTTCTCAGAACAGGGATACACAAATCTTCCCTGTGAGCCCCACATCCCTGGCAGAGCCTGGCAGGACCCGCTGCACCCAGTGCTGAGGGTGCTGGGAGCAGCCAGGAGCAGCTGCCTGCACAAATAGGTACAGTGGCTTCTTGTCCCCCTAATCCTTCTGTGGCGGAGCCTTTCTGTTCTGGAGAGAATTTTTACCTTCTTTTGCATCTCCCTCTGGATGTACTCACAGCCTGTTGCAGTTGTTGCTCTGCCAGCTTTGTCTGCAGTTGTTTCTGTGATGCCCTGGTGCATTTAGTGGCAGAATTTGGTCCCTGGCATTCCAGGCTGTGCTCCTCTTCCCCTTCCAGCCTCTCCCCAGCCTGCCCTGCTCACCCCAGCCCCTGGAGCCCTGTTTCTCCTGCAGGCTGATTCCCAGGCACTGCTGTGCACTTCGGTCAGCACTAATTCCTCAGCTGCTTTGTAGAAAACTTCTGCTTTCCTACAGAAGCTTTACGTGCACTGCTGCTCCAGGGTAGAGTCACCGAGTTCCTGACCCAGCCTGGCCCTGTGCCATGAGAAGAACTCGATTATTCTGCTAAACCCAAGCCCAGCTGCAGCAGAGGCAGTTCTTGCGTGGGCAAAGGTACGTGCAGGCTGTGGAAGGAATGGCTCCAGGAGCAGGAGCTGACTCAGAGTGGAGACAGGAGCCAGCAGGTTGGGGATGCTTCAGTCAGGGTGTGCCCCCCAGGCAGCAGGCACAGCACACAGAAACCATTTCATCAGGAATTGCAGGAAACTGCTGGTGGGTTTGTGCAAGGGCTGCCTCCCAGGCAGTGGAGAGGCTGCCACAGACTCGTCTGAAAGGCAGAGGGAGTGTGACATGTTTGACTTTGGGCTGGATGGGTCTCTCTGGGAGCAGCACTGGTTACAGAAAGCAGAGATTTCAGTGGAGCCAGCTCCAGTCTGGCTGGCTCACATGACACAGGCACATTCCAACAGCTGCTGTCCTTCCCAAGATGCCATCCAAGCCAGGATAGCAGCCATCAGCAAAGAAATATGGAAAACCGAGGTCTTCACTCACCAGAAAAATAAATATTGACACTGGACATTGCTAGAGAGCCTGGATTCCTTCCATCATTTCCTGAAATCCTCTAACAGCCATAAGTACTTAATTTATGAATGTAAAGAAGGGATTTTGTTCCTTGCAACACTCAGTGCCCCGTGCTCCTTTTCCCAGCCCTTGTCCTTGTGGTGACATCCCCTCTGCAGTGCAATCCATCACCCTGTGCTGGAGGCCACAGGTCTGCTTGGAATTACTGAGTCCTTCATCCTGGCACCTTGGAAAGAGCTTGTTTAATGCAAGTTCTGTAAAAGAGACTGATTTCCCTGAAACACCAGGCAGTTATGAGGCTTTTATAAATCATCCATTTTCCATGCCCCTGGCAATTTCAAAACTATCCTTCTGGATCAAATGAAACTTGCTCTTTTCTACCAAATGGTCTGTTCATAGCTGGAGCCTTTCTGGTTTTTATTTTGGTGATTAGGAAGCTGCTTCTAAACATGGAAGTTGCAAAGTTGAAAGCTTTTATTTTGAGCTATGGCATCCCAATATTTTAACCCAGGTTTACAATGGATTGCTTGACAGAACCAATTTAGCACAAATGGGATGAATATAACAAATATATTTCAACCAAAAAGGATTTGGCCCATTTTTTATATTTAGCTCCATTAATGACCTCTGCCAACTGCTTTGCCATTTGCAATGAAGTATTTCAGCAATGATGCTGCTGTTCCTTTATTTCCTCAAACAGAAGCAGATTTTTACAGAAGGGCTTTTTAATTTCTTCATGCAGCTGCATATCTGTCATAGTCCAAGAGCCCAGCTCAGAGCACTCTTGGCTCTTTGAAATCTCTTTTTAAGCCTGGTGGCACCTTTACAAGCTTGCATTCCCTCAGCTTTAGTGTTTTTATTACTCTTGTCCCCAGAGAGCAGCTGTGGGGCTCTGGGAGCTGGCCAGGCTGTGGGAGAGGAGGAAGCTGAGGTGTTCCTGAGCACACAGTGACTCCAGGAGTCTGTCACCCCAATGACAAATCCTAAAAACTCATTCATGAGCAAAGCAAACGAGTCAACTTCCAGATGCTTGCAGCAGGGGAGGCAGACAAGCAAAGGGGACACAGCCCCTGGGCTTTGCTGCTGGCACCAGGGGACACCGAGGACACAGGGAGGGCTGAGCCCAGCCTGCAGTGATGCCACAAGCTCAGCTCATTGCACAGAGCTTTGGCAGGGCTTGCTGGTGAGCCAGGGCTGCTCTGGTTTCATTTACGTCTTTTTCCATGATCTTGTCATCACCTCATGATGGATTTTTAAAAATATTTTATTTTTTGCAGCTTTATCCCTTTTACACAACAGTTATTAAGACTCAAATCCTCTGCCTGTCCCTGCCCTGACCTTGGGGCCCTGAGGCTCTGGTGCAGCCCAGGCAGGGATTTGTCCCTGCCTGTCCCTCAGTGCTGGGACAGTGCTCAGAGCTTGTCAGCGAGGCTGGAGCCAGCCAGGGGCTGAGCTGGGCCCTGATGGCTCTCCCAGCCACGGCAGGGCCTCCCCAGCTCTGCTGGAATGGATGGATCCTCTCCATGAGCCTCAGCTGAGCCCTGCAGGAGCAGCTGGCTGCACCAGCCCTGCCAGGGAGGCACAGAGCAGGGACAGAGCAGGGAGAGGAACGGAGAAGAGAATGGCACAGGGAGGGGAAGGGAGAAGAGAATGGCAAAGGGAGGGGAAGGGAGAAGAGAATGGCACAGGGAGGGGAAGGGAGAAGAGAATGGCACAGGGAGAGGAAGGGAGAAGAGAATGGCAAAGGGAGAGGAAGGGAGAAGCACCTGCAGCTCACCCAGGCGCTGTTTTGGGCAGGACATGGCCAGAGCAGCTGGCCCAGCAGGCTCTGCTCAGCACAGACCCGCACCCTCTGCCCCTTCCCAGGTGCTCCAGTGCTGCTGGATGGGTGGTGGAGCTCTATTGTTGCAAATCCCAACTGTGCATTTTTTCCAACCCAATTTTCTCAGGAATTGACCCAGTTCTAGCATTTGGGAACTGGCATTCAATCTACTGGCAAATGTTTCTTATTTGTTTCAAACAATTTGTCCAGTGTGACCTTTTCTTTTTTAAATAGCTTACACAACAGGACTACATGAATGCTAAATTCTAATCTTGCATAACTCTGAAAGCAGGGCCATACATTTACCAGCAGTAAGGGACTTTTCCCCCCATCCTTTGCAGGAAGTAAGAAGGAAAATCCAGCAGTGTGCAATTTCAATGAAGGGACAAGTCACCCATAATCCTCTCACCCCCAGAATTCACAGGGCTCTCAAGGTGACAGTGTTAGCACAACACATTCCTGCATGTCTATGCACACAGAGAAATGCAGAGGACACCTGGCAGCTGGAAAGGAGCCTGATCCTGCCCCTGCTGCTCCAAAACATTCCCACTGACAGCAACTGGGAACTGACAGCACATCCTTCAGCCTCTCATCAAACAGTGATACCCTAAGTCCTGGACAGGTGCTTGGAGGACACTTTTCTTCCTAACAAGAAGCATTCCTTCAGCTCCTGATGCCATTTCTCATGCTCTTTGTATGCCTGAACTCTTTCCCAACATGCCTAAACTTGGCCACGGGAAGAGTCAGCTTGAGCCACAGCCCATTGCATGCCAGAGCACACAGGGCACAGCTCTGCTCCTCCCAAAACATCCCCATTGTCCCTCCCGGAGGGCACCCACTGCACTCCCACCCCTGCAGCTCACAGGAGGCACCACGGCCTGGCTGACTCCTGTGAGACTGGCCATGACCTTGAGCGCTCCTGGGCAGCTCAGCAGAGCCATCAGATGCTTTTCCAGCAAGGTGTATTTGGCAGTGGATGTCTCACCTGGGCTAAACCAGGCGTGGTGGCAGCACCCGCTCCCTGCAGAGCCCTCCAGGCTGGGGCCAGGGAGGGATGAAGGGAATGGAGACAGGCATGTACAAAGTCAGGGCTGAATGCTGGCCACAGCAGAGGGCGAGGAGGGGATAATTCAGATAATTCACTGTATTCCCTGCAGAGCCCCCGGAGCCAGGAGAGGCTGGGCTGGCTCCAGAGCCAGGGAAATGATGGGAATGCTCTGCGGTGGGTCACACTGGGGTGGTCCTGGGAACCCACAGGGTCAAGGCGATGTGAGGGTCTGCAGTGAGCCAGGGGCTGTGGCTGCCATCTGCTGGGGACAGCTGCGTGTCACCGGCGCCAGCAGACAGCCCGCGCTGATTCTGACATTCGGTTTTCATCTTCGTGAATCACTTCAATGTTTCAAACATACCTTTGACCCATTTGAGCACATAAGAACAACAATTAGCACCAGCACCTCATAAAAGCCAGCAATGCTCCCTCTGATGCTTAGCAAAGCCTCTGACCGTGTGGCCAAAGCCATCACATTGCAATGCAACATCTGATCCCTGGGGAGCTCAGAGAGGAGTCTTTAAAAACCACAGGACTTCTGCGAAATGCAGAGCTTAGAGCCATGGAGCTGCTGAGGAGCCCCACACTCCAGAGATAGATGGGCTCCCACGCACTTAGAGGGCAAGGTAAGAGCACTCTGATGATTTTAAACTTCCCTGTGAAAGCACTTGTTTATTTTTACTTGCCTTCTGAAATCATATGAAGATATTCAAATACTGGAAGTGAAGAGAAGCTTTCTGTGCTAGCATGCACGCACAGTCCTTGGATGCTGCTGCTGCTGCTTCTCCCAGCTCTGCAGGGCAGCTCTCCTTTGTCCCTGCACCCCCAGAGCTCTCTGAAACACAGAGCCACTGCCTACAGGTTTGTACTGACACTGGTTTTACCCTGTGTTTCATAGGTTAAAGAAGTAATTCCTCTGATTTCTTCTGCCTACATGTTCTCACTTCACAGTGAAACAGAAAAATTGCTGCTATTGCTCTAATAATGATAATAATAATAGTTATGTAATAACTATATTTATGTGATGGATTTATGTGATATAATAGTTACAATTATGTGATGGACTGGGGGGATTTGCTATTAATTTAAATTGAACATTTGATGTTAAAATTGTTGTGTGTTTTTAGTTGCTGCTATGTTTTGCCAGCTCGACTTTCTGGTTAATTTTAAACAGGTACAGATACCCTGGCCAGCACAATCTGTCTCCTCCTCTGGCTCTCCAGAGCCACTTCTTTCAATGACAGGGGGTTTGTGTTGGCTCCAGTCCTCAGATTTCCAAAGATCCCTCTGACCTGAAGTTCTGTTGTTCAGCAGAGCCCAAGTTTCCCATTGCTGCATGGTAGCTGTGGCTGCTGAGGAGGAAGCAGCTGTGCCAGAGCCTGACCTGGGATTTCACCTGCTTAAGCCAGGCTTGTGTGGGCAATATAAAGTGAGTTTGTTTTCTGAACAGACCTCAGTGATGAATTGCACGCTCACACTGAGGCTGCCAAGCTCTTACTCAAGTGGAGCTCAAGCAGTGGTCTCAAGGTTCCAGGAAGATTAATGTCTTTATCTAAACCCATTTATATACCTAGATCTGTATCTATATCTAATCTAGATCTCTCTCTCATCCTCCATCTCTATCTAATCTATACCTCCACCTGTATCTATATGAAAAAATTAAAGCCCTGTCAGAACCCATGTGCTTTCTGGCACAGGGAAGCATGCTGAGCTGGGTGTCTGTAGGCAGTAATTTCTACCCACCTTTAGCATGAAATCTGAAGGAAAGAATTGCCCCCTCCCTGCAAACTCTGCTCCTTTCCCTATCAGTCCCCATCTTCCCTCCAGCAGACTTGCACAGGAATAGAAATTTGTCCCCTTCAATTATTGCCATGACAACTAAGAAGAATTCTCCCAAGCATTCCTACCATTCCTACCAAGTCTTGAAACAGCAAAGGCAAAAGGTGGGGATGATTGCATAACATGTGTCTACATAAGGCAAGGCTCAGGCATTCTATTTTCATTTTTTTTAAATGAGAGTATCACTGGTCCAAGGCACTTCCCAAGGCAGGGAGTTGAATCACTTTCCACAGAAGGCATGAGACAGAGGGCTGGTGACTGAAGCACTGACACACTTCTGCAGTGTGCTTAGCTGGCCAGAAGCTATTTCAAACGAAGCCACGTTTGGCCATCACCAAAAGTTGCAAAGAGAATTCCTCTGGGGAATAATTAATCAGCCTTGGTAAACAAATAAAGCCAGACTGGTTGTGTGAGCCTGCAGAGGGAATACAGGGTAGTGCTGAAGCCTCTGACCTCTGCTGTGTCTCCACAGCCCCTGAGAGCCTCTGCAGGACAGCTCCTCTGCCCAGCGCCAGCCTGAGCCCCGATGGCTCCCTGCAGGCTGCCCCTGCTCGTGGCTCTGCTGTGGGGCTGGCTGCTGGCCTCCTCCTCCTCCTCACCCAGCACAGGTAAAGGCCAGCAGGCCCTTGTGTCACTGCTTGTGTTCATTGGGACTTTGGGGCTTTGTCCTTCAGCCAGAGCTGCTCTTCTCTGCGTGTGCATTGCTGTGTGAGTGCTGCTTCAAAAACATGTAACCCATGGTCTAAATCAGTTGTGTGTTTAGTGGCTATTTTCTGAGTGGATTTGAAAGGAGAGACTGCCTTTGGTGTTTGATAGAGAGATATCAAATAGAAACACTGCTATAAATGCTCCTGAGCATGCTCCCAGACAGACAGTGCTGGTGTAAGAGACACAAGGCTTATTTGCACTTGGAGAGTAATGCTGCTAAGAGAGCACTGCTCTGCAAGCTGCCATTCATGGCCATGGCACTTCAAGCATCCCTATGCTGCACTGCACCTGCTGGCTCTTTTTTGCACCCAGAGAGATGCTGAGCAGGTCTGGCCCTCCCTGATGGGAGCAGAGCATGGTGCAGAGCTGAGAACATGCCCAGGAGGCCACTGAGAGGCTGCCTGTCCTGCCAGCCAGCAGGCACAGAAAGCTGCCACAACCCCTGTCAGAATGAATCAGGCAAGGCTCCATTTTCTTCATGTGGGAAAAGCCAAATCTTTATTCACATTGTTTGTTTTATACAGTTTTCACAGAGCTCATGTGCAACATCTCTTGGCTGGCAGTTTTCTTACTACTCCATTTATTGGTCAGAAGGTGATTTGTGTGTGCATGCTGAGGTTCAGGTGTTTACATTTTTCTTTTGTGGGTTCTCATGGAACAGATCTAATGTTTATGCAGGTGAACTTATTTTTCACCCAAGAATAAGTTGTTATGTTAACAAACTATTCATACCAAGATTGTTTTCACTTGGGAACTTGCAAAGTACTAGCTGCATTCAGAAGAAATGACAGGCCAGCTATCAACCCTGACTTTATGAGGCTTTTCTTTTATAGTTCTTTCCCCTGTCTATGACAAACCCCTTGCTGCCACTCTGAGCAAAGCCTGCTGTCTTTGAAATGGGCTCCAGAAAACATGAGTGTCAACTCCACCTCTCTGAGCAGCACAGGGAAGGGCAGACAGGAGGGGACATTTGGGGACAGCTGGCAGGCTGCTGCTTTTCCACTGGCAAAATAGGTGGGAAATTGCAAACCCTACCTGCATCTCAGAGGGCGTGCTGTGGACAGAGGTGGTGAGGGGCAGCTGGGGACAGGCAGGGGTTTGTCACCTGTGAAAATCCCCCTGAGGTTCCCCTGATGGGGAGACGCCTAAAAAGTTCTGTGCCAGGATTGAGAAATGAAGGGGACTTTTGGTTTTTTCAGTCTTCAGGTTGTTTATTTTTTCTCTTATCAACAGTTCAGCACACTGTCTACGCACCAGACTTAGAGTACAAAGGGAAAGGCACCAAAAAAGTCACAAGACACACAGGTTTAAGGTCTTTTAAAATGATTTAGTCCAATTAACTCTTAGAATGAATTTTATTACTGCCTTTCTACCTATAATTAATTATTTGTCTGTTCACACAACATCTGCATTGGGGCTCTTTCTAATCAATCACCCTGTGCCACTAGCACTTCAGAAAATGGAGCAGATGAAGAACAAGAAGGAGATCAGACAATGCCCAAAATCCTCCATCTTGTCTCCCATTTACCTCCAAACTAAAAACCCAAAACTCTGAGTTCTTCACCCTGTGATGAACTACACCACCATCTATTTCACACACTCATAGATTCCAGTTCATCCCAAAGCCTTGGGAGCTTTCTCCATGGGTGAAGGCTGAAAGCAGTGTTCTCCTGGGGGTCAGGGCTTCTCAGGACAGCAGAGGAACAGTCCCTGTGCCCTGGGCTCCAGCAGTCACCAGAGCAGGGGTGCTGGTGGCACTGAGGGCTGTGGCTGTCCCACAGCCAGCTCAGCACCACAAACGTCCTCAGGGGGAGAAGCTGTTAGTTTGGTTTTCTCCAAGAAACATCCAGGAGCAGCTCCCCTTCAAGACTGCATGATGAAATGTTGCATTTCCAGTCCTGTGTTCAGTGTGAGTGATGGGGATGTGAGTGAGACTGGTAATGTGTTATTGTGAAAATGAGAAACTGCGGGAGGCAGCGCTGACATTTAAAAACAATAAAATCCCAGAATGCAAGTACCATCCCAAAGAGAAGCTTTTTTGTTCCCTCTGAAATCCAGTCAATTTTTTTTGTGAGAATTGCTGTTTACAATTACAGTTGGTTTGAAAAAATACTTCTGTTTTGCTCAAGACATAAATAAATTTCAGAGCATTCTCCTACCCAGACAGAAATTCCAGTTCTGACCAATCTAATCCCCTCCTGACAGCTTATCATGACAAAGGCTAGCAGCTTTCTGCTTCCTTGTTTTTTCCTTGTGAGCATTTATACACCCAGGAGGAGCCTCCCAAGCCCTTGGTCCAGTATCATCCTAAATGCATCTCCTACTTCACCACCTAATGTAGTAACAAATCTCCCATGGAGCTTCACATTCTGGGAACAGTGGGATTTTCAAACTGCTGCCTGGAGTGTGTTTTATTTGGGAAAATTCCTGTAGAAGAAACAAATCCTCCAGCAATATACCCTGCAAACTTTCCAGGGAGCACATTAAAGCTGGATTTATGTCACCATCTTCCACAGAAAAATATCCTTATGGTCTGCTTTCACAATGGATTTATTAAAAGAATAAAAGGGAAAAAATGGTGTAAATCCTGATGAAGACATGAAAAAGGTGTTAGAGAAGTGATCTGGGGGCCAGATTCAAAGGGAGAATGGTGGTAATACTGGACTGGCACTGCCAAATTCCTGTGAAATAAAGTGTATCATGCAATGAGTATATAGAAACAAAATGGATAATCTCACCTGTAGGTAGGGGAGAAAAATGACCTTTGATGTCGACCAAAATTGGCTTTGTTTCAGCTACTAAAACTGAGCAGCCAAGCAGTTTTTGTCATGTGAATGACAACTCCATATAGAGCTGGACCTTTAGGACATGTCCTAGGATGGAATTCATCCCCACTTCCTTATTTATTGACACATACCAGCACCTTGAAATACCTTTATAAAAGCCAGATCAGCTGTAAAGGCACATTTTTGTATAGCTGATAGATGCCCAAAATAAGAATTATTCTATTTCTCTGCTTTTTACCTTTTTCCCCTGTTTTTTTTCCCCCCAATAATCTTTAATAGACTTGAAAGGAATATTTAAAGCAATATGGGTGATTTGTGTCTATTAAGGCAAAGGAATATAAATCCCTTTGACAGCACACTTTGATCTGCCATCCTGTGTTGGTGGATGTGCTGAACACAATGTTTGCAGAGATAAGTGTCCTGAAGGTTGGTAAATACCAGGGGTTGAAGGTAAGCAAATACAGCACATGAAAGGTCATCCCAGGACAGCAGTTTTGCTTACAACATCTTGAAAAAGGGTGTGGAAAAAGTGGCCTTCTGTGTGCCTTTTCAATGATCCTTGAGTGTTCTCTCTGAGCACCAGCAAAAACTGGTTTTTGGTGGGCAGGGCAGAGCTCGTGTGTGTTTGTTGAACAGCCAGGGCTGCAGCACTTCACATCCAGCAGCTGCATTTCAACAATTCATAGCAAAGCATCACACTGATGTTTCATGGCTGCTTTGGGGTTGTTTTCTCCACTTGGACTCTGTGTTTCACCCTCTGCTTTGTCTTTAATGCAGTTGCTCCCCCACAAGACCTGCAGATCACTGACCCCGGGCTCCTGGGCTCCCTGGATGTGGAGTGGAAGCCTCCTCCCCACGCCCAGACCTTGCAGGAGTGCACAGTAAAATACAAGCTTGAATATCACAGCACTGGGGATAGAGACTGGAAGGTAAGGCACAGCATGGATTACTCCTCCCAAACCAGGGCTGTTCTGCCTTTACTTCTTGCACAGATTTATGTCTGCATTTTGAGAAGGAGTGGAACGAAAGCTGTTCCAGTTTTCCATGAGAAACCAGGCTGGTTCAGTGGTTTGAATGGGAATTTGTGCTTTGAAATGTAACAGCAGCAGCAGCCAGGGAAGGGGTTCTTTCTGTCACAGGGCTGGGTGTTTGCTGCCCAGAATAATAACATTTCTCATTGTAAAAGGAAAAAATATTTACAGTTTTGTAAAGCATCTTTATGGGGCTTGAACTGAAACAAAAGATCCTTAGGGATGCAGAGCGATGAACAAATAAAAGTTAAATTTCATTAATTATCCTAGTGCTCTAAAATTCCCTCAATCCAGAACTGTGTTTCTAATTGCAATTTACTTCTCTCTTTTAGATGTGGTTGACTCTAACTCAGCTCTTTGATAAAATTGTCAGTCATCTCTCATTGATGTGTAGCAGGGCAGCAGCAGGCACAGCACAGGAAGGGCTGTTGGAATTTATTTTGTGAGTGCTTAGAAGATGAAAGCTGCTGTAGGGTTGGGAAGGCAAACGGAACGAAGAGAGGAGAAACCCAGCAGTGGGGGCTGTTTGGTTGGCACAAGGTACTGAGGAACACATGAAAAATATGCTGAGGATCTCCCTCAACAACCCAAAACACAGATTGAAATCCTGAAAGAAAGAGGGATTTTTTTTGCACAATCCTAAAGCAGGAGAGCTAGAGGGCTTGCCAGCTCAAGAGACAGGGAGAGAGAAGGAGCACTCAGTCAGGCTGGCAGTGCTGGAACAGGTCACTGCTTCACCTGCCTGGGCTGCAAAGCCAGGGCTGCTGGGCTGTGCTCAGCCCCACAGAAATGGGGTCAGGCTCATCCCAGAGGAGCCTGCAGAGGGGAAAATCCTGTTTCAGCTACGGATTGCAATTGCAAGGGCATGGAAAGGGGCTCCTGGACCTGATGCTGGTCACAATGCACCTCATGCTCCCAGCTGTGCAGCAGTGCAGAGCTCTCCAGGATGATTTTAACTGTAATTTAAAGGTAAATCATATGCATTTTCAAAAAAAAAAAAATCTGAATTCCTTTAGTTATGAGTAATAAAAGCTTCTTATATGAGGCAGATGTACAGACTAGAGCAAAATCACCTCTGACACTTTGCCAAAATGTTTACCTCAGATAAGGTCACAAAGAACAGTCAGGCTGAAGAGAAACCATTGGACATCAGCAGAAGATGATCAATGACAACATCACTGGTATCTGTTAGAAATACCTGGCTCACCAGAGCTCCCACACCTGGGGAGTGCTGAGGACACTGCAGGCTGTGCCACCGCTGTGCCCACTGCAGCACACAGATGCATTTTATGGCACAGATGCATTTATGGCACGTTACCTCTGTCCTAATGAGCTAACACAACACTTTGTCTCATCATTTGTTGTAAACCTTGTCAACTTTGTTGTCCTTGCATAAAGTGAAGGGAAAAAAAATAATGGAAAATCCTCAGAAAGTCCCCCAGAGGCCAAGCCAGGTGGCACACAGTGGTGGGTGAGGCAGTGCTGCTCTGCCTGGCTGCTGGTTCACCCTTTCAGGGGCTGCTTACACTTCCCACAGGAACCAGCCTTACAAGACTCATTGTTCCTTCTGTTTGTCATTATTTCACACCATAAAAAATTGCCTTTAATGTGGATTTATGGTGGTATCCTCCTCAGGCTGTGCTCCTTGCTGCTGGGGTCCCATTGATCAGCCTGCTCTGCCCTGTCCTGGCTGGGTCCTGTGGGGTGAGGGGACTCACAGCCAGCAAGGCTGGGCACAGCCTTGAATTAATGCTGGAGGAGCCCTGGGCAAGGGAGGCAGGACAGAAATATAAAGAGACAATAAAGCACACAAATTTGCAGCTGGAGCAAGAGCAAGGGTACCTAATTCTGCAGCCCACTTAGTGACAGAAGAGGTGCTTAAAAAAATCTGTCTTTCAACCAGGTTATTTTTACTAGGAAGCTAAAACTCAGAGTTGGATTTGACCTCAGCAGGACTGCTGAAGTGAGGCTGCAGACACTGCTCAAAGGAAGGTGTACAGGTGACGTGGAGGTGCAGAGTGACTGGATTTATGCAACCTTTCAGATCCCACCACAAGGTCAGGAGCAGCCTGCGGCACCTGCTGCAGTTGGGTGCTTTGCATGAGCCTGTTGCATGAGCCAGTGCTGGCTGGAGGGTTCCTGGATGGATAAATTATTGCAGGGCCTGCTGATGTTTGAGACACTAGAGCAGCTCTGCTACCAAAGGCTGTGCTTGTGGTCACTGGACACCTGGGGCTTGTTTCCCTCTGCTCATGCCCAAACTCTGCTCAGCTGCCCTGCAAGAGCTCCACTGCTGAGTGAAAAGGTCAGTTTAGCATCTTTCTGCTCCAAGGTGGACTGGCTGTTATGAGAAACAGAGCACTTGGCAGTAAAACTAATAATTCTGACTGGCTGCCTTTTCTTTTTTCCTTTCTTTTCATTTTTTATCTTTCAACTGCAGCACGCAGTTGTTCAAAGGCATAAAACTGTGGTTTTTCTGCACACTGCTAAATAGTGGTTATTTCCTTCTCATTTGGCAGGAAAACTTGAATCAGAGGTCCAGAATTTCAAGTGCATCTATCATGACTGGGAATACCTGAAGTGCACCTGGCAGCCAGGTCTCCTCACACCTCGAGGTGCACATTATGGGCTCTATTATTGGTATGTAACAGCAAAACAGGAAAACAGCCAGGCAGCAATCAAGTGAGCCACTCAGAGTACAAAAATGCCACAGGAAATATGTTTTTATAGCTGGCAGTGCTATTGCCCAGTTCACCCAGAATGAGACAAAATAATGTCCCAAACAACGCATGGCTTCTGGCAAGAAAACACCAAATCCTTTCTTACTTTCTTAAATCAGGCCCATGCTGATCTTTGCCAAGAAATGTCTTCTCTCTTCCTCCTTTCCTTTTATTCATCCCCAGGAGGTGTTTTCTGCATGTTGTTCACCATAAAGACTTGTGTTTTCTCTTTGCTAAACACACCTGGGTAGTTCTGGCTGCACATTTCCCATGACCACAGTGCATATATCTCAATTGGACAGGATTTAGCACAAGGCTACCAAGCTCAGTGAACCCTAGACACAGAGTGGAGCTTCTCAGCAACTCAGAGCTTTAGTGTTCAAATATATTTCCATAGCCTCAGCACATCCCATACAAGCAAACACGCTGCCACAAGGTAATAATAATAATAATACATAATTCTCAGCTGTTTCTTTTAAACTGGTGCCTAAATTCTGTTCTGCAGGAAAAACACAGCTAGAATTAGTGGCTTGGGACAAAGTAAATACTGTATTTGTGCTTCAGCTCCTATGATATTATGGAAAGGATGACTTAGGCTGGGTTTCGTGCCACTGGGCTATGTGGACAAAAGCATAGCTGCATTTTAAAGAGCTTCCATGGAGTTCTTGGAAATAGTCTTCAAAGGAGAAGCACCAATTCAAAACCATTTTCCTAACTGCAAAGATCTGCCTGAAGGAAACCATGGAAATGCATGATTCATGCCTTAAAGGAAAACAAACACTAAAAAAACCCAACCTTGAGTCAATTGCCTTCAATAAAACCAGGCATTTGGATCTGGGTCCCATTTTATCACAAGATTGGGTGGACACCACGGCATACTTTGATCCCTGTGAGCAAATTTTTATAGTACTAGAACATGAAGTTTTTCCCCCAAACATAATGTGCTGTGCAAGGAGACTTCCATTAGGTCTGGAGTACAGGGGCCAAATTCAGCCCTGTTGTGAGGGCACAAAGCAGCAGGAACCTTGAAAGACAATATGAGACACCAGTCAGTATTTCCAGGATGCAGCCAGCAGCTCAGCTTTGGGGAGTGGCCCCCAAAGGCAGGAGGGACAGGGTTGTGGCTGCACATCAAGTAACAAACAGCAAATCCTGAGTTTCCACGTGCCCATGGAGAGCCATGGGAACCACCTGCAGTCAGCCAGAGCAGCTCAGCAGCACTCAGGCACACATCTCCTGCCTAAAGACATTTCAGTTTGGTTTGGGAGGGTTTCTGCAACTCCAGAGTCTGTGGCTGATGGTGCAGGAAGGGCCCTAGACGAGCAGGACTGTCTCCATGAGTAGAGGCCAGATCCTTCCCCAGCTCCAGTCACACACTGGCACCTCTTGTGCTCCAGGAATGGGCTTGGGGAGAGCCTGGTACAGCCTGAAAACCAACCTGAGAAGCTGTCTGTGCATGTAAATTTGGGTTTTTTCTCTCCTCCACACTTGTGCCATAGCAAGAGTGCAGGTGACTGACCCACAGCACTGTGCTTATGACAAGGGCTGGGATATGGGCAGTACTTGAGGTCCAATCTCATAAAAAACATCTTGCTAAGCAGTAATTTGCTTTGGTTCTTCTTTCTGTTTCCGTGCCAGGTACGAGGGGCTGGAGCAGACAATGCAGTGTGCTCAGTACATCCAGGAGCACGGGCTGAACCTGGGCTGTGTGCTGCACAACCTGAGCCAGGCAGAGTACCGGGATCTCCACATCTGCGTCAATGGCTCGGCAGCAGCCGCCCAGCTCCGGCCGCTGTACAGCACCCTGCGCCTGCACAACCTCGGTAAGGCTGCCAGGGCAGCAGCAGGGACCCTGCTGGCCACCACACAGCCCAGGGCCACTGCCTGCCTTAGGGCTCTCCATTCAATGTCTGCTTTTGGAGCTGGGTGGTTGGAATGTGTGCATTTCCCCCAGGGAAGGGCTGTGGCATGTGCCCAGGAGGATTTCGGTTTCCAGGAGTGTTTGCAGGGAAGCAACACCACCCAGCACAGCCCTGGAGGTCCGTGGGGGCCTCCAAGTGCTGCATTTGGACAGCTCAGGACACACATGGCCTGCTGGGCATGTGGCAGAGCAGCTATGGGGTTTCGGCTCTAGCAGCACAGTCACAGAGATATCTTCATTTACTCCTGCTGGGATTGAAACCACTGCTGCACTCCTTGCAAGCACAGGAGAGAATTCTTTGCTGTTCAAACCAAGCTAAGGTCTGGAGTGAGCTGAGTGCCAGATGCGATGGAGTCTGTCAGAGATAGATTTCAAACCCGTGACAGACACGGAAAGGGAGCGGAGCACAGCATGATGTGCAAACATTACATGTACTCCGTGTTTATTACGGTGTATATTTATTAAACCATGCTGGTGCATTTGCCTACATGCCAGAAGGACAAATAGCCAATCATCCAGCTGAGCCACTGGGCTAACGAGCAGGATTTCTGAATTCAATTAGTGCTGCCACGTGCTTCGCGTGTGGCTCTGGGTCTGGGAGAGGAATCAGAGCCTTTTCTGGGATGCAGAGCGGGCAGAGAACATGCCGGGCAGGGAATGTGCCGGGCAGGGAATGTACCGGGCAGTGAGCGTGCCGGGCAGGGAACGTGCCGGGCACCGCGCTCACACCCCGAGCCTCCAAACCCCTGCCCCGCAGCCCAGAGCAGGGACCCCGGCCAGGCTGTGTACTAAGTTAAAATAAACAACACACCCTGCAGCCTCGGTGACATGCTGCTCCTCCAGCGGGGTGGCTGAGAGCCAGGAGCGCTCAGAAATCCATTAGCGCGGACAGGGACAGAGGCAGGCGGGGATCAACCGCAGCCTTTCGGCCAGGAGCTGTCCCAGCACCCCTGACCATCTCTGTCTCTCTCTCTCCCGCCAGCACAGCCCCGGAACTGTTGGAGCTGTCCCAGCCCCTCCTGACCCTCTCTTTGTCTCTCTCCCCAGCACAACCCCGGCCCCGGAGCAGCGGGAGCTCTCGGTGTTCGCAGCCCAGGAGCTGTCCCAGCCCCTCCTGACCCTCTCTCTGTCTCTCTCCCCAGCCCAGCCCTCGGCCCCGGAGCAGCTGCAGCTCTCGCTGTCCGCAGCCCAGGAGCTGAGGGCAGCCTGGAGCCCGCCGGGCGGGCGGGTGCCGCCGCACTGCCTGGAGTACGAGGTGCAGGTGGCCGAAGACGCGGCGGCCTGGGCGGTAGGGACAGCGCCGGGTGTCCCAGGGACGGGAGGGGGTCGGGGAGCCCGGGCGAGCCGGCAGCGGGGGCACAGGCTGCGGCAGGGTTTGCGGGTTACCCCGGCGGGGATCGCGGCTGCACCGCACACGCTCCTCCTTAACCCCCTGACCTGCAGCTGCAGCTCGGCTGGAGCAGGAACGGAGCCCAGCCGGAGGCTCTAAGAGAGCGTTTCCTCCTGCCTGCTATCTCAGAAATCTGCCGTCGAGGAAATTTAAAGGTCGCTACGGTTTGTTTCCCTGAATAGGGTGGCATAACTTGGACCTATGAAACTGTAATTCTAATCTCTCAAAAGGAGTGGCCTGGGACAGAATATATATTTTATGCATGGTGCTTTTTCCTTGTATGTTATCCAGGTTCAGTTTGGAGGCAAAACCAAAAAGGGCTAATTAATCATAGGGGACATCTCTTTTTTAATTGCTGTATTCCACTCCTGAGTCCTCTTAGGTAATTAAAAGAAAGATTCCATAAATTAACAGGCATAAATGGCAACATACATGATGACACCTCCAAAAATATTTTCAGTAGATTTGTCTTCATAGTCATGTTATTTGCATTAGCTTGTACAAAACTATTGTGAAATCATTTAAAACTGCCAAAAGATAATCCAAAGGTTTACAGAGCCTGAAAAATGTGCAGGAACATCAGGCCACACCAGGCAGATTCTGGTGGTGGCACGTAATTCTTTGACATTTCTTTCTGTTTCTCAGTTTGTTTCGACCCAAATGGAAACTGCTGTAACAATTTCCAGAGCAAACCAAAGCCATGTTTCATGTGTTCGTGTCAGGGGGAGAACAAACATTTTCTGTGCAGACCAAGGCTTCTGGAGCGAATGGACACAGGATTGTTTCTCTGGTATGGAACTCAAAATAAATTGTGTTTCTTTTATATGGTTTATAAAACCTGATTGGGTGCAGATGCTGATGGCTGGCCCGGGGATCTGCTGGTGTCCAGCCCTGCAGGTGGGCTGCTGGCTTAGTTCCACCTTCAACCCAGTAATATATACCTGTAACAAACAAATAAATAAATAAAAAGATGTAGGGTGACATGGACAAGATGAGTTTGTGTCTGAGCCCAAGCTTTGTAGGAGGTAATATAATCCATTCTAACACCTTCTTATTTCCTGCCATTTATCTTTGCAGTGCCCAGAAAAGAGGACAAGCAGCTATTTATTCTCATTCCAGTAATCCTGAGTTTGTCAATTAGCCTCATAATATTTATGTTAATTGGCCAGTGCAAGAAAAGGTAAGCACCAAGGATGCCTGTCCAAGCAATGTGCTTTTTTGTCGGTGTCTGTAACTATTTATAAGTACAGCTGTAACTAAAACATCACATTGAATGTCTAAGGGCCAAACATTAATAGATGCTCTAAGATTGGACAGCAAACAAGAGTTCATTTTCAGTAAACAACCCTCCTGAGTGTGTCTGTTTCTGATATGAAATGCCCCTACAGCAACCCATAAACTCACTGCAGAGACTCAAATACTGCTCATAAGAGCTCAGACTGCTTCTGTTAAATGCAGCAGTTGCTTGCATGCACAGCAGCATAAATAAAGCTATTATCATGCCCCAAACCACTCAAGAGCAGAGATTTGTCCTAGCTGTGTTATAGCAGTGCCATTTTAATGGGCTAAATCCTCATTCTTTTGGCACTCTCATCCCAGCTGTTTACATTCATGTCAGTGATGGCATGAGGGGAAAGCAGATAAGTGGATGAATTTGTCTGCTTTTACTGATGATAATTTCTTCAGGTCTGAGAGAACTGATGCCTCAGTACTGATAACTGTTTTGTTTTCCTGATGGCTATGTAGCATAACCAAGCAGGAAGCTTCTCTAATAAGCCTTTTAAGACGTCACTCATGAGGGAGAACTGGCTCTAGAAAGACCCTTGTGTGGTCCCCAGAGATGAACTGACACCTGTTTGCATTCCCAGAATCACACCCCTTCATCTTTGCTGTGCATCTGCCTTCCAAATGTTTTAGTTTGTGAAATTTGAACAAATTGTAGATGCTAGTGAGAAATCTGTGGAAAGCAAATGCTTCCTGCATTGCCACTGGGATGTGTGATGGGGATGCTGGAGCATGTCCTCAGCTCTCTCAGTGTCGGGAATAACAGCCTGTGTCCCTTTCAGATCCCCAGCAGGAAAGCCATTGCAGACATCTGTGGGATTCTAACTGCCTGTGCCTGCTGCACTGCTGGTGTTTGGTGGGCTGCTCATGGAGCCATCCCAAGGGCAGCCCAGGAGCCCTGAGCTTTCTGCAGTCCACGTGGGTCTTCCCTGCCTGCTGCCACTTGTGGAGGCAGCTGCTGCAATCCCAGTCCTTAACGGGCCCAGGAAAACTGGAGGGGCTTAAATGACTGCAGGAAAACTGGAAGAGATCTGACCTGCCTCTGAAGCAAAGGTGTTTCTGATACCAGGACAAGGGAGAAAAAGAGGCAGTGGAAACTGCCATGAATAAAGATAACATGTTCTTCTGTGGGCTTGTTTGGGTTTTTTCTTTTGTGAGGACTCCAGAATTCTGTCAGCAGGACACACACACTGAAGGGCAGCAGCTCACACACAATGCTACACAATGCTACACCTGCATCCAGCCCCCGTGCCCACCTTGCGCTCACCTGATCTTCCCTTTTCCCACTCAGCCTGCTGAGAGCACGTAAATGCTGAACAGGAGCTACCTCAGATATCCATTTCATCAGCTGAAAAGCTCATCTGCTGAAAAGCTCAGGTGCAGAGGCCCTGAGAGAAACTTTTCCTCTAAAGAGGCATGACCACAGCTACTGCAAGATGATTCAGAGAAGTGAGGGTCTCTTCAGCAAATGTGACTTGGGAATTTCTCTAGGAACTGGACATTGGCACCAGAATTCAATGAAGCACACCTGATGTTTCTCATGTAGTCAGGTGATTAAATTGTTGACTGATTTTTAGGAATGATTCCCTATGATGATGATAGAAAAAAAAAAAAAAACATTTAAAAAGCATCACTGGATGAAATACCCTTTTCTAAGCCCATTCTGGGATTTTTTGCTTGAAGAACTAACCAAAGCAAACACAGGGGTTTAGTGTGGTTTCATTTCATCAGAACAACCCTGAAAATGTATTTTCTTGAAGGAAATTTATTCAAACCGGGAATTTCTAATGAACAGTGGAAGCCCAGAGAGAAAATCAAGTTTGTGTCAATCAGTTATGTAAAGAGCCATGCTAATCCAATCAGAAACAAAACAACACAGCAAGTGTTGTTGGATGCAAGCAGTTGGATGTCTTACACATCCAACTGCAAAATTATTCAATCACTATCAGCTGCTTCCACTGCTAAATGGGAAACAGCCCAGTGTAATTTGGGGAGCAACCTAAGGAGGAAAGAACCAGGAAAAAAAGGTCAGTGCATGAACTGAAGCAGAAATGAAGTTTCATGGTTGCTGTAATTCTGCTGAGACACAATCTGCCTCTGCTGCCTCCTGGGCAGCCACCACAGGACGGCTTTACTTTGAAAAACACCTGTGAGCATGCACTGGGTGTGGATTTTCAGAACTGCCACCAGCCTCTGATGTTCTGCCAGACTCTTAAACTGTTAAAATATCTTCTAAAAACATGTGAGTGCGTTGTGAATGTCCCCAGGGGAAGAAGTAGGGCAGGCAGCCAAGCCCAGCCTGTTGTCCTAGGTACATCTGGTGCAATCTCACCTACTTTGCCAGGTGGGAATGCTGGGCAAGGCATTTGGATTGGGGCAAATACTGCAGCAGCCCCAGCCTGCTGGATGGGTTTAAACTGGGCTAAAGGCTCTAGTCCAGTTTTACCCGAAACAAAGTAAGAAGGGAAGAAGAATTAAAGTGCACAGGTGCAAGTAAGAGAGAGCAAAGGAAAGGCTGTTGTACCTCCACAGCTAGAACTCACCCCAAAAAAGATCACAGCTATTTCAGTAATCACAGAATATAAAAGTTGGGCTGAAGCCTGCCTAGAAACCTGCCTAGTAACAGAGTGATAAATTAAGTACATCTACTTATGGTATCTGTATGCTGCAGCTTCACAGGAGCATTTAGGTGAGGAAAGCTGGGCTTGGCCCCAGTGCAGGGCTCCCTGCTCCCCAAAATCATCCCTGCAGAGGGTCCTCACTGCAGCAGCACCAAAACACCTCCCTCCTGCTTTCTCACAGAGTCACATCTGCCACATTTGCAAAATCCAGCCCTGATAGATGGCACGTGCCTTCCTAACACCCTGAACCTCGCTAGAATTTCAATAGTGGTTTTTTATCCTGTGTTTATAGAATTACACCAAAGTATTTCTTTCACACAGTTGTCTCATGAGAATGTTTTAATTCATTTGCTGTAGTTCATAATTAATATTTTTAGTAAAGCACTTTCAAAATCCCTCCTTTGGCATGCTCTGCTCTTATTGTTCCCAGCTTATGTCTGGGTTCCACGTATTTTTACCAACTAAGCTCCACATGTTTGGTGAGTCTTTGTCTTTGCATACCCATGAGTTTAGAGTCTTCTTTCTGTCTTTGACTGATAAAGTCTTAGAGCCATTTGTTGAAGAATAAACCCAACTTTTCCTACCCAGCTTTTTTCTCCCTAGAGAATGTCAATACTTGTCACACATACAAAAACATGATCCTGTGCATGCTGCAGGGAAATGCAAAATCCTTTTAGTCTGTCATATTCTAGCTGCTTTTGGGAAGTAGCAAAACAGGGAAGAGGAACACCAAGGTCTTTGAACTCAAAACTCTCCCTTCTTCTCTCACTGAGGTGTATTTTCAAGCTGCCAGAAAGAGGATAATTTGAAAATCAGCTTACATTCTGTTTCCTCATATCCATCCTCATATTTTTTAATTTTTCTGAGTGGCCCCTCAGTACAAGTGTTTCAACCACTCTAACTTGACACAAAGCAAGGCTGACATAGGAACATAGGAATTGATACCTGAACATGAGGAACTTTAATGTGGAGGAGACAGAGCACTGGAACAGGCTGCCCAGAGAGGTTGTGGAGTCTCCTCTGGAGATATTCAAAAGGTGTCTGGACACAATCGTGACTAAAGAGCACTTGGGGACCTTGCTTGAGAGGGGTTTGAACAAGATGAGCTCCAGTGTTCCCTTACAGAATTGCCCATTCTGTGATCTCTCAGGAGCTCTTTACTCCTCCTGCACTCGAGGAATGAAAAGGTGGATGTTGGATCTCATGGGCTGAGGCATCTCTGCTGAAATTTTCCATCTTGTACAGGTGCTAGAAATCCCATGGCCACTGGGTGTCAGCCTCTGTGCTTGGATGCAGAGGACATGGAAAGCAGGTGCAGCATCGTGCCGCCAGAATTTGGTATTTAGTGCATGAAAATGAAACAGAAGGGATAATGTCTCTGTCACCATAAGGAACAGGAGCCTTGTTCTTCCTGTCCTGAGAAGCAGAGAAGTGTCACAGCTTTGCTCCATCATTCAGCTCTGGTGTGACCGAGGGGTAACCTCACCTTGTGCCTCGTGCCCACGGCCCAGTGCTGCTCGTCTGACCAGATCTGGGTCCCCCAGGGCCTGTGCCAGCCAAAACCAGCCCCTGCCACTGCCCCCCCCCCCATGCTCATGCCACTGAGCACCCACAGAAAGGTCCCATCAGCCCAAAGTGGTCTGACTGTGCCCTGCTGTGTGTCCCTGCCTCATGGCAGCAGCTCCTGAGCCCCCATGGAGCTCAGCAGCCAGCCCTGAGCCACTGCAGGCACCTTGGAAGGACAACACAGCCCTTCAGATGCAGTTCTCCATGCCAAGGCTTTGGGACTGCAGCAGCTAATGATTTCATCTGAAATCCAAAGAGCTTCACAGACCATGGCAGGTTTGCAGCTCACTGCCTCGTGTGGCATTTGTACATTTGAGAACATTGTCACCCTCTTTATTTCTATGTAGAAGCTAAATTTTCTCAGGAGGGTCTCTGGTTTTCACAGCTTCAAGGCAAGCAAATACAGCTGATGCATGTGCTTGACAGAACAATTTGAGGCAACATATTGTGGCTGAGCTGTCTGAACAGCTGAAATGGCTCTGCAAACTGTCTGTGTCAAGATACCCTTCCCAGAGCACAGGGAGATTAAACAACCAGCTGAAAAATGACACACCACAAGGCTTAGCCCCAAACTGAGGATTCACGTCCCTGCTGCCATCCTGGGCTGCTTGCCTCCTGTGTGGATCTGCATCCAGACACAACACAGGACTGCTACATCCAGCAAATAAAATGCCATTTCAGCAAGTCCCACACCATCAGACAAATTACAAAAAAAAGGAAATAATTTAAAAATATTAAACGTGGCTTTGATAATTCCTTTCTTGATGAGTCTGCCCAGGAAACAATCTCAGTGTTTGAGTGGGTGTCAGCCCAGGGAGGGCTGAGTGTGGGTGCTTCCTTAGGCTGGGAGGATGGATGAGCACGGTGGCAGTGCTGCTGTGGTCCCCAGTGGGGCCTGCGCTCCTCTGGGACAGCAAGGACAGCCTGCACAGCACAGCTCTGACTTCTCTGAGAGGCCACATGAGGTTGCACTGCCTTGCCTTTGATGGAAGGTGTGAAAGGTTCCTGCAGCTGCAGTGACGGGGTTTGAGCCATGGCCATCAGCGATCATCCACAAAGGATGGGTTTTGTTTCCTTGCCTGGGAAGCTGTGAATGGAGGTGACAAAGGCTTGTGACACCTTTGGTGTGCTTGGAGATCACACCTTTTGTGCGCTCGGAAGTCTCACCTCACCCAAGCACCAGCGACTTGCAGGAGTTATTTTCATTTGGGAAAAAGAAGTACTTAATATCAGGGGGTTTCTGCAAACCAAAGAACACGTTCCTTTGATGTTATCTAGATATCATTGGGAATTAAAAACAAACGAAGAGTGGCAGAACACTCTTCACTGGAAATGATGCAGTAATGGCGAAAACATGCACAGCAAACAGACATGCAGAGCCTGATATCCCTAGGGGTTAGAGTCTCCCTCCAAGGCTGCTCTTGGCCATGTCACCCACCCCAAGCACCCTCCCTGCATGGCCATGGCACGCTGGTGACAACAAGCAGATGCCAACAGCGTGTTAAACCACTCAGAGCAACAACTGCCCTGCAGGAGACACAAACTGCAGCAGCACACACAGATGTGAAGCTGCTCTAAACGTTAACAAATGCAACCAGGCAGTGGTACCTAAACATCCTTTCTACCCCCAGAGGGTCTGACTGCAGAGCCAGGGCTGCCCAGAGAGCCTGGGAGAGTCACGGTGCCACCAAGAGGTCCTCACCTGATGCATGAAGCCCAGAAGAGAACAGTCCTTGCCTTTTGCCTGATGATGTTCCAGCTCTTACCTGTTGAAATGGAAATATGTCCCAACCTTTGGGAGTCTCAAATTGATCTTGGCTGGTAGCTGCCCAGAACTTTGTGCCCATGATGCCAATTTGTTTAGAAACACTCATGCTGAGAAAACAATAACCTTGTTGCCTGCCAGGTTCAGCAAAGTTCACTTTTAACAACAGAGCTT